GATTATCCATGCCAAGCTCGCTAATAAATATATACTCCTGCAGGACATTGATACACCGAATTATAGAATCACAAGTTTTAAATCTCCCTTTTGGAAGGAGCTTATTTTCGCGGGCTTTCGCCATCGCTGCTAGTGTCAGATTTCTCGGCCTCCTGCGCGCAAGCGATTCGTCGCCCTCCCCCAGCAGGCGGAGCTATAGAGCATCAAAGTCACTGCAGCCTTCGCTGTGCATTTCGTCATTGGGAACTGTCCCGTAAAGAAACAATAATTTTGTCCACTTCTTCGTCCAGGATCATGTCTGTTTTCATACATTTCGCTTCTTCCATTGATATGGGCAATTTCAGAAAATAATGTTCAGCATTCATTTTCTTTAACTCGAAGAGGGGTCCCGATGCTTCGTTTATAGCAACACGATTCTTAAAGCAACCCCAAACAAATTCGATGCGATGAGATCGGGATGGGAAGAAGGGAGCTTGATGCTGAGGCCACATTACCTATAAACGATTGTCTTACAAACACTATAGTACACCTGAAATTAGGCCTACGCTAAGACACTCTACAATGCACGACACTTAAAGACGAAAACGTTAGGACTGGGGACCAGAGGCGATGCTTTCTATACATATGTTTCATTTAATGAAGCTTAATATATTAAGAGTGAGCGTCTGTGCATACAGTTGAAATTTTGAGTTGAGTCGCTGACTAGTGCGCGTTGCGTCAGACACAACATCCCGTGTCTCCAGACCTCTTTTCCCCTCGCCCAACCCCTTCGGTTGACGCGCAGTGCGAGTGAGAGAGCGATTTTTTCATGGAAGTAGCGGTTGATGGAAGTCACCCCTCCTCGCTCATGCGCGGTCGAAGGGAGATTTGTAACTTGTTCATCTATACCAGTGCAGAAACATCCAGAAACAGTGCTTGAAAGCAAGTCCTGTAAGTTGTACTGGGACCGCAGAACAGTCCAGCACAATCCAGTTTCTGACAGAACAATCCAGCACAATAGACCTGATGTTACGCTCTGGGATAAACCTCCCAAGAAAGTTTGGTTTATCAATTTTGCAGTTGTCAATACCAGCAACATGATGACAACATATCAAGCAAACGTTGATAAATACCTAAAGCTAGTGCAGTGCGAGAACAGTGGCACGTTGCAGACGTAAAAACTGTTCCAATAGTCCTATCAGCAGCCGGAGTCCTGCCGAAACTTCTTAGCAGATCTTTAGACTACCTTTAATATGGACAAGAGTATTATCAACGCTCTTCAAAAATTAGTCATCATCAGTACGTGCTCATTGGCCAGGAAGTTCATGGGAGGACATGTGGAATACTGAAGCTTTTAAATTCAGCTATTATATTGTTATTTCAAGTTTGATATTTTATATTGTATTATATTAACTATAGAGTGTTGTAAAGGTAAAACAAATTAGTTACCATGCTTTGAAGTTGTATCTGTGTGGTAGCTGTATAAGACCAATAATTTGTATGAAAATGGAATAATGATGATTATAATAATAATAGTGTGTAAAAATAGATCCTAAAATGAATTTGTAAATTTACAATAAACCAGGGGTGTCCAACTTGCAACGCCTCAAGGGCGACAACTAAAACCTTTAATATTGCTGCGGGCCATAATTACATTACCCGGGTGGGGAATCATGCCTGATATCAGGCCATGCCATGCATGACGCAATAAAACAAATGTGGGGATTTGGAATTTCTGAATTTACTAAAAAAAATCGTAGATCTGAACTTAACCTATTTTTACATTAATGGGGTGTTAATCCTATCAGGGCGTGTGTGATAGTCGCGCTACGTTCTACGATATAGTTTTCACTTTTGACTAATAACACAGGCACGCACAATGAAGTTGTCACATCCAAAGACTTGACACATGTTTCACTATGTAAGTCGACATACTGAATCTAAATCTGAAGCCAGAATTCCGTCACCACACTCCAGGTTGTTTTTTTCAAATCGCACCCCCCCCCTCAAATTTACAATCTACAATTTTACTGTGGTTTACGCGATTAACAAAACTGGAGGATGGTGGCGCAATTCTGGCTTTAGATTTGGATTCAGCGCATCGAAATACATAGAGAGACATGTGTCACGTCTTAGGGCCTGACAACTTTTTTGTGTGTGCCTATGTGACCTTTCGCGGGCCACAATATATAGCGCGGGCCGCCAATGGGACAACCCTGCAATAAACCATTAACAAAAACTCGCTTAACACGAAATTCGTCGTCAAATCAACAAACTTTCGTCTCGCCAAACGAACGTTATATATATATAT